GTGAAGAATTATCCTCGAATTGCTGGCCTCTTGGAGCATTTTGAATAGCCGACCTGGATTGAGTCGGGTGAGGAAAGATCGCGGACTCCGATGACGGCAAAGCACCAGGAGAGAGAGGAGGGTCCTCAGAGGAGACACTGCTTCTCAGGGCGCCAAGAGTCTTCATGTTTCTCACCACATCCCTCCAATGTGTGATCAGCATCTCGGCGATATCGTTGGCGACATGTATTTTGTCGACCGTCAAAGATGTCGATCGAATGTCTGATTCAGTCCCCCTCCGACTATATGATACTCTTGACGTAGGGGGTGTCGAGGGCATCAGTACTAGGCCCATGCTCGGGTCGGCCAGCTTGACCGTGTAGGTGTCTAGTAGATCTCCGACCAAGAGGGGTCCAAAAATAATTCCCAGTGCATTAAAGCCCATGAGGTCCTGGGCAGGCACAGTATCTTCAAGACCGTCCTCCCTAAGACAGGCAGACTCAGCCTCCCGGCCGATCAAGCATAGGAGACCGAACACAGAACAGATCAGCTCCCTCCGATACCGTGATTGGACTGTCCCAATGGCAAGCGCAATGAAACGGCCTCGCAACTTGCTGCGTTTTATTTTGTTGAAGCTGGCGTCGCCATGTAGTTGGCTGTGAATGGCGACAAGTGCATCAAATAGAGGCAGAGACCCGAGTATTCCGCCTGGCAGGCCGGCAAGGAACCTCTTGAACGCTGACGCCACATCGTGGACCCTAGCATTGATATGAGTGGGAAGATTTGGAGATCGAACTGTGCCGTTGACGTCGTCGTCTCCTGATCCCGTGCTGTAATGATCGTAGAGAGAGTTGACAACTCGAACTGAACCAGGTATACGGAAGACGCCTCGAGTAGACGGAGCTACTATTGTCAGCTGCAGAAGGCTCTATAGGCGGGGATTTGACAAACCATGTTGTACCAGATACTGAGCCGTAGCCCGGATGCAAGTCGGCAGCATGAGCGACCCAGTGGCATATTCAGGGGGCAGATACAAAACACTTTTGCCGCATGTGCGGACAAGAGTCTGTAGGCTCTCGCCCTTGAAACTGTCTCTCTTGGTTTGTACCTGAGCCTGGGTAGCTAGATCACTCACGCTTTGCTTGCGACGGATGCTGCGTTCTGATTTGGAGCTGACAGATCGGCTCGATGAAGGTGGTCGACAAAAGGTTCGAGAGAACCAGCTCTTCTTGGGCACCAACACCTGCTCACCGGGCTGCTTATTTTTCAGCATCGGCGCAAGCAGTACGGACACAAGCTTTAACTCACAGGTACTGGCTGGCACCCTTCAGGTAAAAGTTGACGAACTCCGTACTGCGTGGGAGGATCTCATCAGTGATTATACTCAACAACTCGGTGTACTGATATCGCTTCACGCACTTGGGCTGCCAGGCGATTGTACGCATGAACAAACACGGCTCGATCATCTATCCGATCCGACTTAGGGAATTCGCAACTAGAAGCGGTCCACGTCGTGGCGCTGGACCAGCCATTCCGACCGTGTGTTGCCGACACAGGCAGTCCCATCAGTGTCTTATACGGGGGTAGCTGGCTTCTGGGCGAAGACAGAGGTCTTGCATGGGGCCTCGTACGGTCTCCGGAGTGATGCGCCTGATACACCGAAATGTTGGGCGTAGTGGGCGGAGATGTCATCGCGGTGCTGCTATACGATGAAGACGATGCTCCCTTAACATGATTGTACGACGGATGCATTGGTGGGTGCAGGCGAGATGGTTCTATGGCGGAAGAGGCTGGGAAGAAAGCGGATACTCTAAGATTGAATGGATCGATGCCTCTATTTGAGAACAACTAGCTGATCAAGAAGAATGCCTGTGGTCTTGAAGCAAAGAATAGCGATGAGTAAGGGGTGTGTGTGTGTGTGTGTGTGTTTGTGTGTGAGAGCGGGAGCAGCAGCTTAGGCAAAAAGGCGTTGTTGCACGTTTCCTTCATGCTTGACACTCGACACAGGCGCACCTGCACCTCGACGACACACAGAGCCACGACAGAAGGACGCAGCCACCAGAAGCGCAGCTTCCTCGCTTCTACGCCCCCTTCGCAGCTGCTAATTATGGGCGCAAAAGAAGCACGAGCTCCGGTGTCCCTCGAGGAAAAAGATGTCGCGACCCCGACGGCGGTAAACATGCCTGCACAGGCCCCGTAATGCACTGATCCGCGTTGCAAACACAGAACGGATCTCATGTCTATTCAAAGACATGGCGCCGCAATGCTGTGTCATAGCAATATCACGTTTCACTGATGCGATGCTTTCGCCACGCCACGCCACGCATTGCCAACTCCAACATGCTTGTTGGCACGCCGGGCCTCAACGCGAAGGCTTGGACGCATGTTACCTTGCTGCGCCGGACCCTGATCCACCAGCCACGCCAAACACCCGGTCCAGTTCCTCCCCTGGATCCGGCGCAGCCATCTCGCTCGGCCCAGGGTGGTCAGCGGGGCCGGGCCCGACTTCTGCGATGCTCATGCTGGCCAGTCCATCCGCCGCGGCGCCAACGCCGCCACCGCCCTCGCGCTCGGGCTGCAGGAGCCGCGCATCGCTGTCGAGCCACCCCGGCGCAACGCGGCGCTTCTCGGCCAGCTCTCTCTCGCGGATGCGCGCCTCCAGGGCCTCGAGCTCGGTGCGCGCATCGGTCTGGAGGCGGGATATGTGCGCTTGGAGGGCGCGGCACGAGGCGATGATGTCGTCCGGGTGCGCGGCGTGCCCGGATGCCGACACGACGTACTTGGGCTTGGCTGTTGCTGGGTCGTGCTCGTCCGACGGCGCTGCGGAGGCTTGCATGCCGGTGGCCGAGGGCGGGAGCGTCGAGGGCATGGGTTTGTACGTATATGGCAATGTGGTGGCAGATGGAAGATTGACGAAGGGCGAGACGGTGAGCGGCACCTGCTCCAGGAGCGGGTGCGATCCTTTACAGATCATGTCAATGAACTGGCCTTTGATGCAGAGTGTTGGGACCATGGCGGTGGTGATACTTACGATTGTCGTGCATTGTTCTTGATACCGCGCAAGAAGGCAAATATTGAGCAGTGCGTACGAGTTTGTCTCTCAGTCCCTTCAAGGAAGAATAAGGAAAGGAAGAAACATTGAGTAGAAAAGGACCGTTTCGGCTTACCGTTTGAGTTGTTTGCCTGTTGGGTCGCCAGAATGACGACTGCGCCATGTACCGTGTGCACTAATAAATGACCTACCCCAGTCCAAACCTTTATCCGATAAGGCAGCAGATTCCAATGTCGGTGCTATCAATCACTGCCTGATACCCCGCCAAAATTTCGAGCTTCATGCCTACTGACATAGCTTCGCGACTCGAAAACCTCCATCTTGCGCATCTCTCGTCCTCAATTCATCCGCTCAGCGCCCACAATCCCTCGACCGCAGGACGAAAAGATGGAAGCCCGAGCCATAACCACGACCATCCGGTCGTGTCCGGCCGCCAGCGACTACGTCCCGCTCGCCGAGCACCAGTCGCAAACCCCAGAGACCTTCTTCGGCGGCAAGCCTGTGCTGCACTACCACGCCGCCGGCGCAAAGGCCTTCGTCCCCAAGTCGCAAATCAGCCGGCTGCCGTTCATGCCGGCGGCTGTTGCGCCCGCCGATGCGAATGCGGCTTCGGAGGAGATCGAGGGCTCAGAGGAGGAGGAGCTGGTAGATCAAGAGGTTGACATCTTTGTTGGATCAGAGTACGTCTGGCCCCTTGCCGCTGTGCGCATCGCCAAAAAGACCCAGGACTGACCGTGAGCAAAGTACATTCACCGTATTCAACCGAGCCTCTTCGACAGGCCTTTCTATACCGTATCCTCTCATCGCAATCCACGCTATCAAGTCCCTCAGCGACTCTGCCACGAGCAAGGTCCAGTCTGTGTACATGCAGCTCGACCTCGCTGATGGCGGCGCCACCGACGACGACTTCGACACCGTCGAGCTCACTATTGTCCCCCCCTCTACTTCTTCTTCCTCCTCCACCACATCAGACGCCCCTCCCACAAACGGCGAGGCGCCGCCCCCGGCGAGCTCCGAAACCGCCAAGCTCTTCGAGGCAGTATCCGCCTGCGCCGACCTGCACCCGGACCCGCCGCAGGACGGCGGCGAAGACGAGGACGACGACATGGACCGCATCGTCTTCGAGAGCAGTGTCGACGACGCCGAGGCCATCGATGGACTGCCCGGCGTCTTCAGGTCTGCCGGCGGCGGCGGTGATGATGGTTTGCCGCCGCCCTTCCCTGGGAGTGGAGGCTGGATCACGGCCGAGAACATGCATGAGTATTTCGACGAGGAGGGCAACTGGATCGGGGACGAGGGAGTCAGCGGAGAGCTTGGCGAAGGCGCGGGGAGGGTTCGGGGCCGGGACGAGGCCGAGGGTGAGAATGGTCAAGGAGGCGCCACGAATGGCCACGGGACTGGCGATGATTCAGAGAGTAAAAGACCGAGGACTGAGTGAAATGGACGAGTATCTTGGGGGAAGAAAATAAAATTACGAGCTATCCAAAAGGTCTTTGGTTGTCCAGGCCAGAGAGGCAACTTGTGTATTAGTATCTCCAATAAACGAGGTACAGAAGAGCAGTCCCGGAACCAACGCCCCTTTATTTCTGTTTATGTCGCAATTTCTCCTCAGGTCTAGCGTTGCCGCCTTTTTTGTTCTTAAGGCACAGTGGGCACATGGGCTTTCACAATACGCCAACGACCGACTGGCAGACTTGTCCGAAGTCCAAGCATGCAGCGGATGCTTGGATCAACGCAGACGTTGCAGAAACATTCTGGCATGTACCTTCCAAACGGGGCTCGTTCATTGCTTTTCAGTCTGCTATGCATACATAGAAGACTTCCCTATTTCCGAGCCTTTGTTCTTGTATCCGCCAGCCATCATCAGAATAGCACCGAGACGCCATGCAAATGCCCAACCCATCTCATTTTTATGTTTTGCACATATTTTTACAAGCCCGGGCGTAGTACTTCGAGATCAGTCATCTCATCACTGTTCGATCCCATCTTCTTCATCGATAAGCCTGCCCAGGATCAGGCTCTGGATGACCAGCTCATCGCTCAAGGTCTTGATCCTCTTGGGAGGGGTGCTGGCTCCGCTCGTGGTCGTGCTGGATCTCTTCCGCTTCTTGCCATTAGTTGCGCCTGTGGTAAACAAGGACTCGCTCTGTCCTGATTTCCCGTCGACATATACCCAGTCGTATGGGCGATCAACAGCCTCCATGGCTTTGAGCTGGACTCGAGCGTCTTTCAAGTTGTACACGCGAGACAGCGAGGCCCCTAGCACCCAGGCAAGAAAGACATAAACCATCTTCTTGCTTTCATCTGTCTTCTTCATCACGAGAAGAATGCGGTTGCCAGCCAGGAACCTAGGCCGGTGTTCCAAGACATCCGACAACTTAGCGCTTGAAGCATCGTACGGTACAATGTTCCTAGAGCGGATAGCATCGCCGAGGAACGATGACTGCCCTGCACAAAGAAGATACGGCGTCCAGTCAACCACTCTCTTCTTCTCCAAGCATGTAGAGATCCAGCGTGAGGCAATACAAGGCAGTCCCAATGCGAGAGCCTGCATGTATTTCACTTTCCTGGAATGCCCGTCGGCTATCAGCGCGGTGAACCCGATAGAGCTTGCCGCGGAACGCAGAGGGATATCGACATCGTCTGGTGGGGTGGAAGCAGGACTCGTCGATGTGCTTCGGATTGGAGGATGATCAAATAGCTCATCAAAGCCGCTCGAAAGCACGGTGCCGCCTTCTTGTATGATTTGATGTTCTAATTCTTTCGCGGTTGCCATACGATCATGGTACTGCTCTGCATTCTCACCTGGCTTCTCTGACTGGAAAGAGATGGCAAATGCCATGCCAAGGAAGAGCTGTTGGGCACCTAGGCTTCGATCTCGAGAAGTGGACTGGGCGCGTGATGGTGCGCGTCCTGGCCTCGCAATCCCAGCAAGGGGTGCATTCACGCTACGATCAAACGTTGGCGTGGAAGACGGGGAACGACCCAGCTCATCAGTGGAGGGCGGTTCCGTATACACTGGCGGCTTTCTGGATCTCGTGGCCACCCTGGTCCGTCCGCCGTAAGTAATCGTTTTTGGCGCTGCTTTTGTTGCCTTGCGTCGGAGATCTCTGGAAACCGCGGGAGAGGAATGATCGCCGCTCACAAGATGGGCTGCTTCTCCGCAATCATCCGTTGCAGGTGTAGTCTTCTCCGATAGCGTAGGCGTTACAGACAGCGTGCTCAAGCTCGACGTCGAACCTTGCATAGCTGAGCTTGAAGGGGCCCCAGGCTCTGTTTGCCCGCTGGATATGACTCGTGCACGCTTCCTCGCTCGGGTACTCAAGGCAGGCGGAGAAGAAGGCACTGACGATGGCACAGCAGGAAGCCCATCTGCTTTGGGTTCTGGAAGAGCTAGGGAGGAGACTGCAGTGTTTTCGTAGCTCGGGTGTAGATCGGTCTGTATGTCAGTTGATGTATCATGATGCGAGCCGCGAGTCTTTGAATCCACCGACGCTTGAATTGCAGCATTATCCTCCTTGGACGATGGCACGCCTTGCCGAGATGCTTGAGGTTGTCCGTCGCTCTGGAGCGTTGGATAAGAAAAGCCGACCAGAGACTCGGATGTTGAAGATTGGTTTTGGAAGGTGCTGAAGGGCCGAGGCTGCTGCGGCGCGGGACTGGTCTCAGGAATGGCCTCTCCTTGATCCAAGGGATTGCTCCAAGTTGCCGGAAACGCGGAGCCATCTCTGTCTAATGCAGCTACAGCGGAACCTGGAGATCGTGTCAAAACCTCGCCACGAGTATGCCCCCCATCTCCGACAGACTTGGCTGTTGGCAGATCATCCCCCGAAGCAGTCTCAGCTGCTTCCAGGGACTGAGCAACTACCAGATCTTTCTGGGAGTCCGCCACGGTGTCTTGGCCCTCGGGGGTGCTGGTCCCTTCACCTTTCGAAGTAGCATGATCCCCAGGGAGCGAGGCTGGAGACTGTTTTCCCTTCTTGTTGGTGGACGGCACCTCGACTTCATCAGACTCTGAGGAACCCTTGAAACTGATCGAGGAGAGTTTTCGCTTAGCGGCAGACTTTTTTTCCTCCGCTCTTCGCCGACGCCTGAAGTCATCATCGTCGCTTGTCTCTCCATCAGAGCTCAGGTTAGAGTACTCGTTGGATGTCTCTCTCCTGAGCTGTGATAGCTTCATTGGCTCATATTGTTCCATGGGTCCAGAGGTCAAATGCTTCTTTGAGGCAATGTACTGGAGCGGATTTTGAACAACCGGACCCTTGGGGGTCGGCTCTTCGAAACGTAACTCATCTGCTCCTGGAGGTTCTGACAGGATTCCAGCTTCACGCTCAGGGCTTGAAGTTGGCTGCAACATAGGCGAAGATGGCAAGCCACGAGCCTTTAGCGGTGATGAGATGACTGGATTTGGGGATATTGAATTGGGCTGGAAATCGTTTGGCGACGGTCTTGACGATGTTGGGCTGATCCCACCCCGCACGGCAGACGAGAACTGCGTCTGTCTGAATAGCTGCGAACCGCCGAGCAACTGTGCTCGGTCGTGAGCGGCGAACGGGTTCTTGGGTTGGGCTGGTGTTTCCGGAAATTGGAACGAGCCATGGTTCGGTGCATGTTGCTGAGACTCGGCATCGCCTTGAAGCACCAAGCCGAAGTCCACAAGACCTGAGTCATCGGGGACGGTAGATTGAGTGGCGTGCGCTGCTATATGGCTTGTCCCGAAAATGACAGCGCCAGTGTCTTCCTCATTCAGAGTCTTTTGCTCCTGCGAACTTGGGAAGTGGTCGTCGAGTCCAAGGGCTGTAGAGGGCAGTTCATCCTGCAGCCTTGGGGAGCTCCTGTAATATTGCTCATAGCTGCGCCCATCATTTGACTGGGTCGGAGACTGAGAAGGATCCATATTGACGGCCTTCTCGGGTATTTGTGAGTGCGCTGAGGCTATATCCTGAGGTTGACCATCTTTACAAAACACCTCCGAGCATGGCTCGTTGCTAGCCTCGGAGAGAACCGAGGGCGCCGGGTTGAGTTGGGCCGAAAAGACAGGATCGGCCACGGGAGATGCAACCTCTGTTACGGCGTTTGTCCTGGGCGTGATATCTGCCAGAGACCGATCACCGTGATCCCGCTTTCGATAGTGTTTCTCTGTGGATGACGCACTTCGCGACGCGCGATGTAGCTGCAATGTCGCGTGGTCCCGTGTCTAGAAAGTGAGGAAATGGGTCAGTGCCAACCATGTGTATCGGACCTCCACTAGCGGGGAGTGTGGCCATTTTAGAGCGGAGTGATCGGGAACGACATTGGACGTACCTTATGTGGACCGGACTCGGACTCGAGAAGACGGCTTCCCACATATGCCTGGTGAACTGTTCAAGACAAAACACTAAGTAAATGCTCGAATGGACTTGTAATGCAGGAAAAGAAAGAAAAAAGGGAAAGACAAAAAAAAAGAAAAAAAGATAGAGCGATTCAAGCTCACCTTTTGTCACGTTTCCGGGTGTTGCCTGTGTGGGTAGACAAGGTGGAGGAGCGACAAGATCCGATTCTTGCGTTTCTCCCGGAGCTGGGGAACTGCTCAGCTAGACGAATAAAACGTTAGCCGGCCGGTATTAGACCAAAATGCAGGGGCTGCCTCAGCGTACTGTCCCGACACCGTACCAGTCCATGTACACATCCAGAATATTGATGCTCTCCTGGGACTCCTCGTTATGCTCTTTGGGTGTCATCATGGCTGCTGGGAGGACTGAAGACATCGAGGTTATTCGGATGAGAACTCGGTTGGACCATTGAAATCACCAAGGCAGGCGAGAGATTGGACGTCGTACTGCCTTGATTGGTGTCATGCTGGTCAAGTGAATGTGAATAGACCTTTGTGGTCAAGCAATTCACCAGCACGACTTTTGCAAATTTGGGACGACATTCACTCGGTTGGTCTCAGAGGCACCTTCCTTCTTTCACAGCTAGTACCTTCCAACTCTCTGTATTGACTACTAGGTATAACCAGAGAAGTGACTTTAGAGGAAGGCACGCATCTTCTTTACAGTGCATTGTGTTACAGCTTTGAAAGCCTGCGACTTCACTTTAGGAACGACAGATCGGGGGCTGTCCAAGATTCTTTTCCTTTATGAGTTCCTCCCATTGATTTCCCTACTGCCCGAGTCCTCTCTAGAACACAGTCGTGATGATATTGGCACAAGAATGCTCACTAATGATTGGCTCTCGGGACATGAATCCTCGGCACGAATCCTGAAACGGATGCAAGAAAGATCTTGTTCCTTTCCTCGGTCTTCTAGAACATGAAGAGAAGATGGAAATATACTCCGTACACTCGCCTGCATCATTACCAGGGAAAGCATGGGTTGGGGGTTGCGTGCCTGGTGTACACGGTCTACAGGTTCTGATTGGCTGCATCGAGGTGTAATGTTTTGATGGCATTAAGGTACGGAGTAGGCCGCGTTCGGCATTCCCACACCTCTCTCTGGTGATCAGCCCCTAATAATAACAACGATCCCCTGTCGGAGCTCAACAAACCCCTGCTCTTTTTAATCTTCATCTGCATGGTCATCCGGTGTTGTATCCAGGCACTCTTTTCCCTGCGCTTCTTTTCCCTTTCTGCTGGGTCATGTCACACACTCTCCGGCCCCTTCCGCTGGCATTTGTTTCTTGAATTGCCGTCCTTTTCTGCTACCCTCTTCTTGCTATCTGTGTGTATGACATATCTGAGACCTGCTCACTCACACGTCACCACTGTGTCCAAATCGCCGACCACAGCAGAGGTACGAGATCCCCTGCCTGCTCCTTCATCTGCACAGCTTCTGGGCGTCGCGTTCGCCCCCCCTACTAAACCCACCGGCCCTGCTGTTTTGTGGACCCCTATTTACTTTTTGGCAGCGATTCACATGGCCATGACCCCAGACGGTCTATGCGTGTTTCCCTAGCACTCACAGCCAGGCCCGCGGATGCAAGGATGACCGGGGAAACAGAACAATAATATTGGGAGCGAAATGACCGTCATCACACCATACTTAAACCGACCTTGACTATCCTTCAAGACCCTGCTTCCCACGCCTCGTCCTCCAAGTCGATTTTGATTCCTCTGCCTCTTTTCACAGACAGAGCCATCATTGTCGTACTCGAGCGCCGGGCCTGGTTTCAACTGCCCTGTCCTCCGCTCCATAAACTCCCCATAGCATCATATCAACTTCTCCATCGAACTGGTCCGCTTACCGCACCGTTCTTGTCCCTCGTTACCCGCATCAGCGCGGCCCACTGCCCGGCCATCTCCAGGCGGCCTGTACTCCGTACCCTCCTTGGTGAGCAGCTTCGGCAACCGTTGCCCCCCTCATCTCGCCCTATCAACAACCAAGCAACACCCCTGTCCTACGGTTAGCTACCCTAGCTCGAGCTCGCCAATTCGAATTGCCTGCCTGCCAATAATAGGGACGACGGAGATGGTTGTAACCACACGTCCCCTATCGCTTCTTTCTTCATGACAGTTCTTCTATTCCAGATTTGTTTACTATCGGCCTGCTCCAACACTCTTTTCAATGCGAAGCGCCTAAACCGCATTACCAAGGCTCACGTCGTCGCCAGAAGAACGACCGCTCCTTTGCGATCCCGCCAGAGGCGCACCCACGGTGCTCCAGCTGCCGCTCCTTACCGCAAGCGACGCCGTGCGTCTGCATTCGCTCGACGGGCAGAGCTTTTCCAGCAAACCTCGCAGAATCACACTCCGGCAGCGCCAACATCTGACGAGAGTCCTTGTTTTAATTCTTTAGATCGAGCCGCCGTAGAGCACCTCTTCACGTTGTACCAAGGCAAGATGGAAGGTGACGGCTCCAAACCCGACCCGGCGCCTAGGCCGAGCTCCGACAAGCTCTCCAAGGAGGCCGGCGCATCAGAGATTGCCAGGTCAGAAGCAATGCCTCCTCCGCCCTTGCCCACGGGCGGGGGGCTGGATGAGCACGCGTCTGAAACCCGGTCCGCCAGGTCTGAGTCTACTGCGTCTCGAAATACCAACCGCCTCTCACTCACTCTCCCCATCGCGCCGCCAACAGCTTGCCCGAGCCGCCCTCCCCCAAGCTCGTCGACGGCTGTGTCGTCGTATCCGCCTACACCAATTGACACATCCGCAGTCACGTCGCCGACTGACACAAACAATTTCATCACGGCCATTGCTACCCAGGAGAGACGTGTGCTCGAGCTCCGCGAAGAGCTCGACGGGGCGGAACGTGAATTATCCCGCCTCAAGAAGCAGTGGGCACATCACGAGGCGTTCAAGAAGAGGTCCGAGATTCGCAGAAAGGAGCCACTGAGACCGCTATCCCTCCAAATCCAGACGAGCACGCCTCCTAACCCAGAGGAAGACCCGCTCACGAGGCGAAGTGTTGAAATGGACAGGCGCAAGGCACTTCTCCTGGGGCAGCAGAGTGCACAGAGCACGCCGACTCAGTCAAGACGACGTGTTTTTCGCGGTGCTCATACGAGAACGCTCTCACTCTTGTCTCCGACCAAGACCACGGACGACTTCTCGGTTCACGAGGACGATGTCGGTCTGGTCAAATCACCCTCCCAGGAACTGGAGGCTGTCTTCCAGAGCATTCACCGCCGGAGCCCTATCACACCAGCACAGCTGTCGAAGCGGGCATCGTGGGCCCCGCGCTCGACCCAGCAAGTTGGTGGTCTGAAGCAGGTTGCCGATGACTTTAAAGCCGGACTCTGGACTTTTGTTGAGGATCTGCGACAAGCCACGGTGGGTGACGAGCCCATCACGGGCACCGGCGCGCCTTCAAGGGGTGCTGCTGGAAACCCTCGGGCAGGACATTCCCTGTCTGGTGAAAACCAAGATACTATCAAGGCCTCCGGACCTACCACCCGACCACACGTGAGCAGGGCCTTTGAACACACGCCAACACCGCCGGCCCGGTATACAGACAATCCGGAAAGGGCAACACAAAACACTGCCCCCGCGGCCGAGCACCAGCGAAAGGTGTCCAAGGCCGAGGGGAAGGCGGCGAAGCGTTTCTCGTGGACGCCTCTGACGGTCGATTCATTTGATGATAACGATTGGACAAACTGGGATAGTCCACCTGTCAAGTCGCCGCGATGGAGCGGCACCACGGTCAATGGCGACCTCATTGACGCAATTCCGGAGAAGAATGACGAGAACGAGACACCATCGTAAGAGCATCTCCCTCGCTATCAGCCCTTGGTTAGGAGCTTTGCTGATTGATGTGTAATCGCAGGGCAACTCAGCGGACTGGAGCGCAGTCGTCGACACCGTCAGACTCTCCCAGCAAGCTTGATGACATGTCCTGGGCTGTCCTGAACCGGCTGACTCCCGGCAACATCAAGCGTACCGCCTCTGACTTCATGAAAGAGTGGGAGAAGAGCTTGTCGCCGACCAGGGATGGTCTCACTGTTCCCGAGGAGAACAGAGACCAGCAGGTCAGAACCGTTGACCTATTGTAGATATTGCCTTTGAGGGGGGAATTTCGCCAGCGACACGGTGGAGTTGTCGGGCACTCCGTCTCTTGCATATAGAGTTCCCAGAGGGAGCGGCTACATTTCTTGCATATACATTCGGCGAAAGCATGAGGACACGGTTCTCACGACAAACGACCAGATGACAGAACGCAGCGCTATTTGAAGATTTTACCTGTTTGGTCATGGAAACGAGATTTAGCTTTGGATTTGTACCTGAACGATGGATCTCGTTGGTTGACGATGCTGAGTTTGGATTCGGATTTGGACTTGGTCTTGTTGTGTTTTATGGCGTCGAGTAATGTATAGCAGGGTGCACCTGTAGAATAATGATATAATGATCTATTGAACGTCAATGGGTGGAGCTGTGCGTTGCGCAACATGAACCATCGCCTATATCGAGTGACCAGTTTGGACGGCTCATGACGATACCTCGAAGCTCTAACGGTGTCAATGGAGCTGTTATGCGCACTGTTACGCACTGTGGGATCCAGGCTGCAGCTTGAGAGGGATTTTGATAGCGAAGCAACACCACCCACCACCCACTGGAGCACATGAGCTCGACTGGTGTGGTTTTTCCCCACCAACCCAAACACCCGCCTGTCGCTGCTGCTGACCCGGACCCATTACGTCGCAATACAGAGCACAACCAGTCAGTACCTTAGTCGGCCAGCAGCGGGTCACAGCTATCCCAGACCTTGAAGCCGCATCTGCAACCACTTACCGTATCTACCTCATCCATCCATCCCATCATCGCAACTCCAAGACGAGTAGCTTCCCCCCGCGGATCGTCACCTCCCGCTTCCCAATTGTTCTCTGCGCTCTGCTGCTCATCTATTCTCCTCTACACCTTTTCCATCGACCTACGACCGCGCAGATACGTTCAAGATGGACCACGTAGGCAAGATCTACTCCATCTCCGGCCCTGTCGTGATTGCCGAGGAGATGGAGGGTGTTGCCATGTACGAGCTCGTCAGGGTCGGTCACGATAACCTGGTCGGAGAGGTCATCAGGATCAGTGCAGACAGAGCATCGATCCAGGTCTACGAGGAGACTGGTGCGTTGGCAATCTCATAGCCTTCCCCCCTCCCCCCCATCTAGAAGTTCGGCTTTGCAGATCAGAAATACCTCGACCTGCATACATCAACCTAGCTCCCAGTCTGAGGATGAATACTAACAGTTTGTGCAATGGGCAACAGCGGGTGTGCAAGTCGGCGATCCCGTACGACGGACCGGCAAGCCCCTCTCCGTCGAGCTCGGCCCTGGCCTC